CCTTTCAGGTAAATAAATACATCTTAAAAATAAGAGTAGTGTAAATTAGTATACAAGAAGTAAGGAGAGGGAAAGGTCTGCCTTCCAGATATTCTTACTGTGGCAAGAAAAAATTGAAAAGAATATTTTCTTCTTTTTCTTAAAATCCAGATCCATTAACATACCATAATGCAGATTATTTATAAAAGTGATCAGCTTACAGAATGGATGAAATACTTTTGTTGTGGGACTGGTGTTGTGGCACAGCGGGTTAAGCCACTGCTTGTGATGCTGGCATCCCATATGGGTGCGGGCTTGTGTCTTGGCTACTCTACTTCCTATCCAGCTGCCTGCCATTGGCCTGGGAGAAGCAGCGGAAGATGGCCCAAGTGCTTGGGCCCCTGCCAGCCATGTGGAAACCTGGGTGAAGCTCCTGGATTTGGCTGGCCATTGCAGCCATCTGCAGAGTGAACCAATGGATGGAAGGTTGTCTCTCTCTCTTTCTCTTTTTGTTTCTCCCTCTCTCTTTCTGTAACTCTGACTTTCAAATAAATAAATAAATCTTTAAAAACAATACTTGATCTGAATTGGTTTACTTTTCCTTTCTCAGTACCTTTTGTGTTGAACCTCTGCTTGAGTCTTCTGTCCCCAGTCAGAGAATTTCAGTGACCTTAGTTGCAGCTAATTAGGAGTGTCAGCAGTTACTGAGTCTTGCCTTTAGTAGAGAATAGCAGCTCATCTCATGGCAGACGTTAGGCCAAGTACTGCTCAGCTTCTGATCATTGCCAGTTTATTACTGGTCTTGGGGAAGCAGGTTGAAGTGCATTACTAGTAATTTTTAAGCCTCTACTAATGGCTTACAACAATAACAGGAATTGTTTACTCTTTGATAAGCAACAAAACTGCCATCAGATTTAATGACTTACTTTGAGTTAAAAACTTGGAGAAAATTACCAGCTTATGTTGCAGATAATGTATTTACCTGGCAAAGTATTTAATTATTTGTACAGTTACTGCATTGTTGTATATTGCGTATTAGTCTTAGAGCATAACATAAATGCCTTACTGTAACCTAGCTGTAGTTACAGAGATGGAACACATGAAATAAACACTCCATTTTATGTATGGGACTTTAGGCTTCTGCTTGGATCCATTTACAGGCATTTTCAAGTTTTTGTGAGGACTGGTAAAAAGGTTGGAATTTCTCACTCCTGTCCTCGCAGTAGGAAAAAAGCTGTTTGAACAAACTGAAAATGAATCCCTCTTCTTAGGTCTGTCAGAGAATTGATGTCACAGAGCGAACGGTGATGCCGCAGCACCCGGAGAGACAGGCAGATGGGAAGCATCACAGGTGACAGGAGCAGAACCGAGGGGGCCAGGGGAGCCTGGGAACAAGTTGTAGCCCACAGACAATTGCTGGCTGCCTGTGCACTAGGTTGAGAGTTAGAAACTCCTCGTCCATCAGCTGATGACTGGATAAAGAAATTATGGCATATGTACACTAAGGAGTACTACTCAGTAATTGAAAGAAAAGTGGAACCCTAACTTTTGCAGCAAAATGGATGCAACTGGAAACCATGATACTTAGTGAAATAAGCCAGTCCCAAAAACACAAATACCATATGTTCCCCTGAACTGTGTAACTATTAGAGTACCTGAAACGTAATGTGTAGGAGTACGATTGACATTTTGAAATTCCATTATTGTTTACAGTCCTTATCTCTACTGTTGAACAGTGGTTTTTTTCTTCTTACTATTTGCTGAACTCTTTACTTAGTGTAGGGTTAATCTTATGTGTATAAAGTAAACTGAATAGGTCTTTGTAAAAATTGAGCATAGGGTGGGAGAGAGAGGACAAAGAAGGGTAGAGAGAGGATGTGTGGGAAGAATCACTATGTTCCTAAATCTATATATATATGAAATGCATGAAATTTGTATACCTTAAATTAAGTAAAAACAAAAATGAATAAATATAGTGACAGTCCCTCCATCCCAAATTAAGCCAAAGGGACTGATAATTTAAAAGTTCTGTAAGAAAAAAAAAAAAGAGAAACCACTAAGGGCCTGAGTTTTGTTACCTCTAGGGTGGTGACCAGATTCTCAGGATCAGAAAAAAAATCTTCCTCTGCTTCCAGGAAGTGAGGGGGAAAGGATCCATTTTCAGGTATGTCCAGGGCCGCGCTCTCCACTTGCATGCGAAGGAAGCCGCTTTACCAGACCCTAACTTACTCCGGCTTCAGGCACCAGCTGTGACCTGAGCAGAGTGAAGGGGACCGAGAAACGTGTGTGATGGTCCTCGTTCAGGGACACAGCCTCACCAGGAGACTGAAGCCTAATCCCAGGGTTTTAGAATGGCGCTCCACTTCCGCCTTACCACCACACCAACAGGCTCCTGTGTGATGACTTAGCTGCAAGAACTGCAAGGATCAGACTCTAAGAAAACCCCAGAGACAGGAGAGGAGGAAGAAAAAACACAAGAGTGTTAGAAGCAATTCGAGACTTAGACTCATTTTTAGTAACACCAAACTATAACCACAGCATAACTCCTACCTGGCATGTGAGCATAAACTCTTACACTAATGGGTTCCTGTTACCCATATATCATGTCTGTCTGTTAACAGAAGGTTACAAGGCATGCTCATGGCAAGAAAAACACATGCTTTGAAAAGGTAAATTAAGGGGCCTACACTGTGGCACAGCGGGTTAAAGCCCTTGTCTGAAGCGCTGGCATCGCATATGGGCGCCGGTTCTAGTCCCAGCTGCTCCACTTCCGATCCAGCTCTCTGCTGTGGCCTGGGAAAGCAGTAGAAGATGGCCCAAGTCCTTGGGCTCCTGCACTCATGTGGGAGACCCGGAAGAAGCTCCTGGCTTTGGATCAGTGCAGTTGAAGAGTGAACCAGCAGATGGAAAACCTCTCTCTCTGTAACTATGTCTTTCAAATAAATAATGTTTAAAAAAAAGAAAAGGTAAATTAAGCAACAGAGCCAGACTCAGATACCACAGGGATTTTATAATTATTAGATTGGGGATTTAAATTGCCATCATGAATATGCCAAGAACTCTTTTTTACAAAAACGTAGGCAACATGCAAATACAGATGGATAATGTATGCAGGGATATTGAAATGCTTGAATTAAACACATTGTTTACAGAAATGAAGAATGCCATTGATGAACTCATCAAAAGACTGATGACCGTAGAAAACCACAGAAAGCATCAGTGACTTTGTAATAGAACTTCCCAAACTGAAATACAAAGGGAAGATCAGATTTAAAAAAAAAAAAAAAAAACAATTGCCAACACCTGTGGGACAATGATAAGCGGCATAATGGGAATATAGGAAGAGAGAAAAGAACCAAAGAAATGTTTGAAATAATGTTGAGAATTTTCCAAAATGAATGGCATCCTTCCCTTTGTAAATGATAATGAGTCCATGCTTGATATTTAGCTGCTGCTGAAAGGGTGAAAATTAAAATGGGGCATGCTGGCAGGTTCGTGAAACTCCAGTTTTATTTCAATTTATCCAGTTTTATTTCAGTTATCCAGTTTAATTTCAGTTGCTCTAGAAATTGAAACTTCGGTTACTTTTTTGTGCCATTAACTTTTTGTAGCCTGATGACCTGCCACTGTTTTGGTAGAGCTGTTCTAATTGTTCATGTACTGAGGATAAGAACTCAGCTTTTGATGCAGAATATATTTGTATGTGTAGCACAGATGAAGTAGAAATTTAACAATAGTGGGCTGGCACCGCGGCTCACTAGGCTAATCCTCCGCCTTGCAGTGCCGGCACACTGGGTTCTAGTCCTGGTAGGGGCGCCGGATTCTGTCCCGGTTGCCCCTCTTCCAGGCCAGCTCTCTGCTATGGCCAGGGAGTGCAGTGGAGGATGGCCCCAGTGCTTGGGCTCTGCACCCCATGGGAGACCAGGAGAAGCACCTGGCTCCTGCCATCAGATCAGCGCGGTGCGCCGGCCGCAGCGTGCTGGCCGTGGCGGCCATTGGAGGGTGAACCAATGGCAAAAGGAGACCTTTCTCTCTGTCTCTCTCACTGTCCACTCTGCCTGTGGAAAAAAAAAAAAAAAAGAAAGAAAAGAAAAGAAATTTAACAATACTAAGATTTTCAGAGCCTCAAATCACCGTTTGTTCTACATGTAGCAACAGCAGATTTAAAATTAACAGTAACCTTAGAGCAGAAAGCACTTAAGTTTGTAAAGTAGCAGGATGAGCAATATTAGTTAACTAATCACAGACATTGCTTCAGAAATACAAAAGGGGGCTGTTGTTGTGTAGTGGTAAAGCCGTTGTCTGTGACACTGACATCTCATGTGGGCCCCGATTCGTGTCTTGGCTGTTCCACTTCCAGTCTAGCTCCCTGCTGATGGTGTGGGAGAAGCAGCAGAAGGTGGCCCAATTGTTTTGAGTCCCTGCACCCATGTGGGTAAAGCTCCTTATTCCTGACTGGCTTTGGCCTGGCCATTGCAGTCATCTGGGGAGTTGACCAGGGATGGAACATCTCTTTCTCTCTATATGACTCCCTCTCTCTCTGTATCTCTGACTTTCAAATAAATAAATAAATCTTAAAAAAAAAAAAAAAACGCAATTGGATTATACAGCTCTTTAGTTAATGGGATTCTGAATATTTTCTGTTAAAATAGTTGCTTGCCTTTTTCTTAATAAAATTGGTTGTAAAAATTATTAAAATAGTTTATAAATATCCTTTTCCCCAGACTCTTCTTTATTCCATTTGAGAATCAGTGAAGTTGTCAAAGTCTTATTTCTGTAAGAAATGATAGGGTGGCAGCATGAGGAAACATACAAGACAGTGATTTAAGAGCCTAAAACTTGAGAGCAGGTTTTTGCCTGTCCTTTCATCCAGTCCATTTCCAGGAGAGCAACCTGCTCCACTCGGCTTCTCTGCAGCGCTTCTGACCTGTTGGCTTTGTGGTTTTTGTGGCCTGTTCGGTTTCTGTGACATTGACTGTGACACAGAATTAAATTGACTGTGTTCTCTTTCAATTTAACAGAAAAGTAGCAGCTCTGAGTCATTGAGTGACAAAGGTTCCGAACTGAAGAAAAGCTTTGATGCTGTGGTATTTGATGTTCTTAAGGTCACACCAGAAGAATATGCGGTAAGTGTTGAGCCTTCCCCTTCTCTGTCCTTTGCACACAGTTCACATATCGGCGCTGTGGAGGTAGTGCATCTGTGGGCTCAGTGGAGGGGATGATGAACAAAAAGCTGCATGTAGGAATTGTTGGGGAGAGTAGCACAAGGGTGGAGCCAGCAGAGGGATGAGGTGGGCAAGGTAAGAGAAACTGTAGGCTCTTAGAGGCAGCTTTCTAAGTCACACTTCACGTTTCCCTTTGTATTCCAGGGTCAGATAACACTAATGGATGTTCCAGTATTTAAAGCTATTCAACCAGATGTAAGTAGTTTTTAAGAGTGTTACTTTTCAGTGAGGAAAATGGTCAATTATAGTGTGCCCAGTTAAAGTTTTTAAAATGTCAAATTGTACTTCATATTAATTTTGAAATGTTTGAAGTGGTTGATCTAACTTGCCTGTCCACTCAGGCCTTAGAACTCCATGTGTCATCCATAGCCACACATCCCTGGGTCATTTTGACTCCTGTTTGGTGGCTTCATCACTCTGTGGGAAGGAGGGATGGACTTGGGTTGAGTGATTTACTCGTGACTTTGAACCTTTGTAATATGAAGTGAAAAATTAGAAACTGAGTTTTTACAACTCACTTCGATAATCTCTTCATTTATAACTTTGTATAATGACTGTATTAAGGATTTGGAGAGGGGTGTGTACTTGTGTGTTGAATGCTTTAGCATTCCTGTCATTTTCACAACCCGGGCGTGATCTTGTCTCTGACTGAGAGGAGAAGAGTGAGAATTGCCCTTCTAACAGTTAAGTGTTGGAACTGGGCTTCAAATTCTAAAAACTGATACTTTTTCTGCTCTTACCAAGTACGAATATAAGTAAGCTTCTGAACCCCCAGAGTAAATGATAATCCTGAAATTCAGTACCATAACATCGATACTTCATTGTTAATGAATGGATTAATTTAAAAAGCAGAGTGACAGAGGCAATGAGACAGAGATTGATCCTCTAGTTAATTCCCCAAATGTCTACAATAGCTGGGTCTGGGCCAGGCTGAAGCTGAGAGCCAGCAGCTCAGTCTAGGTCCCCTGCATGGGTGCCAGGGACTCAAGTACTTAAGGTGTTGCCTGCTGCCTCCCAGGTGCACACTAGCAGAAAGCTGGGGACTTGACCCTGGACACTCTGTTACGGGATGCAGGCATCTGAAGAAGCATCTTTTTTTTTTTTTTTTAATATTTATTTATTTATTTGAAAGAGTTAGGGGGAGAGAGACACAAAGATCATCCATCTGCTGGTTCACTCCCCAGATGGCAGCAACAGCCAGGGCAGGGCCAGGAGCCAGGAGCTGCTTCCAGGTCTCCCTGGTGGTTGTAGGGACCCCAGCACTTCGACCTTCTTCCACTGCTTTCCCAGAAGCATTAGCAGCAAGCTGGATTGGAAGTGGAGCTGCCAAGATGGCAGACGGTGGCTTAACCCTGTGTGCTGCAACACTGGTTCCCTGAAGAACTGTCTTAACTGCTGCACCAAATGTCCACCCCACTTTTTTAGTTATTTTGGCAGCAAAATATAATGATGTTTTATAAAGTTCATGGGAAATCTGTACTATTATTAAAAAAAGTTCCAAAAGTTTTTGCACTAAAATAATCTTACTTTTAATTCCATTTTTTTCTGCCAATTTTTGAAACCACTTTATATAGTGTATTAGTTCTGGTATGTGAAATGCATGGTGGCCCTGAAACCCATAGCAGGTTTCCGTCTATTTTGTATGTGATATAGACAGCATTCCTACTGTGACTTTCATGCAAGTTACTTAATATCTTAGTATCTGAAGTTTGTCATTTGTAAAATGAGGCAGTAGGCCTCAGTGACCTTGAGTCTGTCATTTCCACAATTCCAGATTCCCTTACTTTTTCCCTGTACCGCTGGGGGTCCTCTATAGTAGAACCATTGAATTAGCAATAGAAGAAGAGAAACAATGTACTCTATAAGTAGTGCGCAAGGGGCTGGCACTGTGGCGTATATTGGTCAAAGCTGCTTCCTGCAGTGCCAGCAATCCTATATGGGCACTGATTTGGGTCCTGGCTGCTCCACTTCCGATCCAGCTCTCTGCTATGGCCTGGGAAAGCCATAGAAGATGACCCAAGTCCTTGGGCCCTTGCACTCATGTAGGAGACCCGCAAGAAGCTTCTGGCTCCTGGCTTTGGATCAGCAGAGCTCTGCCATTGTGACCAACTGGGGTGTGAACCAAGGGACGGAAGAGATCTCTTTCTCTGTCTCTCTCTCTGCCTCTGCCTCTCTATAATTCTCCCTTTCAAATAAATATTTTAAAAAATACTGCACAAATAGAAAATGGCTTTTGTGTCTAAATGGCAAAAAACAACAACGTGTAATATTCATTTTCTTACCTCCCAGCACAAAACCAAAGAAATTGAATTCTTAACCAAAATTACATTTTCTTAGTCCTGAAATTCTATGGTCTTCTTAGATGTATTTTTTCCTTTTGAATAAACTATAACAATTATGTTGCTGTTTCATATGAGAGTAGTAATGTATAAGGGAAATAAAATGTAAGCCATTTATATCTTCTAATAGCTGTATTATAAAGTAAAAAGAAACCGATAAAATCAGTTAAGATGATTTCATTTAACTTGGCTACATCCAAAACTTATATTCACCTTGTAAACAGTATAAAAAAGTACTGAGATGTTTTTACATTCTTTGAAATCCAATATTATATATTTTACTTACAATACATCTTTATTTGGAATAGCTGCATTTCCAGTGCTCAGTAGTCATTTGTGGCTAGGGGCTTGTACATGAAAGACTTGGACAATACTGCCTTCAAAGACAGACTTTACATCTAAAGGAATTTGTGTTCCCCTGAGGCATCTAACAGTACTTTGTGAAATTTAGAAGTGAAATTTCAAATTCCCTGACATCAATCCCATATTTTTTAAACCTCTTGGTATCTTACTTGTCTAATCTGTATCCGTTCCCAGCATCCCAGTCGAAGATACTGGCTTCTCTCAGCTGAGTTACTGTAATACTCTATTTCCTGACCCATCTGCGTTCCCTCCGACCCTCTGAACTCTGTTCCACCCCACCGATGTGGTCATCTTTTCAGCATGTAACCCCACCGATGTGGTCATCTTTTCAGAATGTAAGCCTGCTTCTGTGCACCTTGCAGCAGCATCCTGTTGTTCTAAAGAATGAATCTGCACACTAACACGGTCTAGAAGTCTCTTCATAGCCTTGTGCCCCTTCCTAGCTTCTCCATCCTTGCCGTAAGCCTTTTCTGTGTCCTCATCTAGCTACACTGGCCTTCTCCTCTGAGCCTGTGCACGCACTGCTTAACTCCACTCATCTTTCTGTTTTCAGATCAGGTTTGACTTTCTCAAGTAAGGTTTTATTGTTTGCTTTTCTGTGGTGTAGACTCTCCCAGCTCTCTAATTTCTTCACTATTCTTATTTTTATTTTTTTATTTTTTATTTTTTTTTGACAGGCAGAGTGGACAGTGAGAGAGAGAGACAGAGAGAAAGGTCTTTCCTTTGCGGTTGGTTCACCCTCTAATGGCCGCCACGGCCGGCAAGCTGTGGCTGGCACATCGCGCTGATTCAAAGCCAGGAGCCAGGTGCTTCTCCTGGTCTCCCATGGGGTGCAGGGTCCAAGCACTTGGGCCATCCTCCACTGTACTCCCGGGCCACAGCAGAGAGCTGGCCTGGAAGAGGGGCAACCGGGACAGAATCCGGCGCCCCAACCAGGACTAGAACCTGGTGTGCTGGCACTGCAAGGCGGAGGATTAGCCTATTGAGCTGCGGTGCCAGCCACTAGTCTTTTTTTTTTTTTTTAATTATTTATTTATTTTTTTTATTTGAAAGTCAGAGTTACACAGAGAGAGGAGAGGCAGAGAGAGAGAGAGGGGTCTTCCGTCTGATGGTTCACTCCCCAGATGGCCACAACGGCCGGAGCTGCACCGATCTGAAGCCAGGAGACAGGAGCTTCTTCCGGGTCTCCCAGGCAGGTGCAGGGGCCCAAGAACTTGGGCCATCCTCTGCTGCTTTCCCAGGCCATAGCAGAGAGCTGGATCAGAAGTGGAGTAGCTGGGTCTTGAACCAGTGCCCACAGGGAATGCTGGCACTTCAGACCAGGGCTTCAACCCGCTGTGCCATAGCACCAGCCCCTTCACTAGTCTTAAAGTTGCAGTTTCACGTTTGTGGTGTGCTTCAACAAGAGTTTACCGGGTGCCTGTTGTATGCAGGGCACTAGCTAGGTTGCTGGAGATACAACAGTGAGCAGAACTAAAGTCCCAGTTCCTGTGGGTCCCCCGTGTGGGTCAGGTGAGCTAGACAATGTCAGCAGTAACATGAAACAGGGAGTAGGGGTCGCGAGAGTTGCCATTCCGGAGAGTGTGATCAGAAGTTTCCCTGAGAGGGCAGCATCTAAGCAAAGACCTGAAGGAGCGGGGAGGGAAAGCCAAACCAGTGTTTGAGAGAAAGACTGTTCCAGGCAGAGGGAACAGCCAGGCGGAAACCAGGGAGCCACAGATGTATGAGCACAGGAGGGCACGCACCAGAAGATGAGAGGTAGAGTGAGAGCTAGGTGCCGTGGGGGCTAGGAGGTCATTACTTTGGAAAAGATGGGAAGCCATGGAAGGATTTTGAGTCAGCTCTTTCTGACTGCTGACCAGGGTATGTGGGGAAGCAAGCGTAGGGAGGCGGTACCAAGGACGGCATCCAGGCGACCAGGGGAGAGCTGCGGATGGCTTGGATCAGCGTGGCAGTAGAGGAGATAGTGAAGTTATCAGAGCCTGCTCATGTGCAGGAGGAGTTAAGGATGATGTCAGTGCTTCTCACCTGACAGCAGGCAGTGAAGTTGATCGTCTCTGAAATGGAGGACCAAGACAGGTTGTACTACCGTGGGGCTGCTGGGCACAGAATGATGTGCAGTGAGTGCAGCTTTGTAGAGACAGGGTGGAGGAAGAGGTTTTGAGGCAAGAGGAGTTTGTCTTTGGACATACACAATTTTACATGCCTTTTAGACATCTAAGGAGAATACTGAGTAACAGTTTGAGTATTCCTTTCCAGAAAAGCTTGGGAAGTGTTTCTGCCTTTGGATTTGTTTTGGATTTTGGAATATTTATAGTGAGATGTTTTGGGGATGGGGTCCAAATCTAAACATAAAAGTCATTTATGTTTCATATAGACCCATACACACAGCCTGAAGGTAATTCGGTACAGTGTTTTTAGTGGACTCGTGTTTTGACTGCCCAATCATCTTGAGGTCAAGGGGTGGAACTTCACTTGTGGTATCATGTTGGT